AATAAGAAATGTTTCTTTCACAAGAAATGTATAAAATTACAGTGCTGTATTAGACTTACGGTACCTAATTTACATACTGTACAGACGATAGTTCGCCTAAACTCTCCGTAGCGTGGCGCCACNATACAAAATTATAATATTACTTATCATATGTTTTTATTCATTTATAATGGTGTTAACTTATCTTCAAAAAAAGTTATCAGAATTTTATCTAAAAAATTGTTTGATAAGTTTAATACATAACAACATTAAGTAAATCTGAATAGAGTAACTATAATACATTACACTTAATTAACTACCGTAATCTGATTATTCTATAATTCCGCGTTTTAAAAGTAGAAAGATAGATAAGAACTCGAGATAAACTTCTTACAGATGACAAAGTAAAAAAGAAAAAAAGAGGGGGAGGTGTGGAGAAGGAGTAAAGAAAAAAAATCTAAAACGTAAAATCGATTAAGAGCCCTTTAATATTACCATAAACCAATTTTGTGTGTGTGTGAACAACAATTTACGAAAGAAAAACAAATATTTGTGAACAATAAAGTAAGAAAACTTTATTGTTGGCAGTAGAGAAAGTTTTAAGTGGTTCATTTTTCACACAGTTTTCTGCTGCGCGCACTTTCATTACACGATCTCGGCTAGTGCTACAAGAAGCCATCGTGTAATTAGTTTAATGGCTCCTTCGCTCTCCATTTTTTTAATTCCCAGTCTTTCAACGTGAAAACATGAGATTTAGTTGTGTCATACGGCTTTGCACATATCATTCTAGATGAAAGAAATATGATCCACTTGGATCACTTGTCTCTTCGACCCGCTCACGTGATGAGACGATTTGCTTTGATCGAAATGATCGATACATACCGTACATATTTAACATATATATACATATAAATGCAATAATATATATATATTTTTTATTATATTTTATTATAGATATTTTGTTTTTATTATATATATAATAAAAACAAAATATCAAATTACATATGTGTACAACAAATATACATACACCAGGAGTCACTCTGGAAAATTTAAAAATATTGCCATCAGTTTTACTTACTAATTAATACAGGTGCCAGTAGTCTTATCAGTTTGGCATCTGGATAGCAAAAGTAACATGTTAAACTGTCATTTACAAGGAGAGGTCAGACATTTGGGTCTCCAGTTTCAACAAAAGTTGGTGAGCACATAGCCTTAAACACAAGTAGCTCCTTGTCCAAATAATAGGACCCACTTTTTGAGAATTTCCAAAAAATGGGCATCTGAAAATTTAGTGTTTATCTTATAAATCTTTGGAAGTTTCATCTCCAAGAGTGGCAATAGCCAAGTGAAGAAGAGGCTAAGCAATGGAGCTAGATGATGTAGGTTTGATTCTTTGGAATTTCAGTTTTTTATGTGTAACATTATTATTTTACCCCATTATTATTATTCCTCATATTTAAACTTATCACAATTTTTAATCTCTTGTTTCATGTCATTTCCTGTTTATGGAAAACAAGCTCTGTATATTTAACTCTTAGGTTATTAAATAAAATTTTCTTCATGTTTATTTTTAGATATGGTGGTATTGTGACATTTGAAATATAAGAAACATGAGTGCACGAGAAAATTAATAACATTAATGTTCATAATACTAATAATTAAAAAACTAAAATGCTGCGACTCGCTACTCTATATTCATATCATTTATTTTTTCATCCATGTGCAGTAATGTTCGAAGCTTATTCACTTGTGAGGACACAGTATGTAAAATATGTGAGAATTGAAAATAAATGTGAAGAAATAAAAGTGTTATTTAACGATGTAAAGTTAAATTGATAGAGGCTTGTTTTTGCTAAACAGGAAATAATGTAACCTATTTTAATCTATTGTTTTATAAGGTTTAAACATGAGGAATAATATTAATAATGCAGTAAAATAATAAAGTTACAATTAAAATTAACTAAAACAAACTAAATCTCCAAACAATTTTTTTCAACTGTAGAAAAAAAAAGTGAAAAAATATACCTTTTTTTTACTACTTACTAATATATTCAGTATTCAAAATCATTAAATCAATTCTTAAATTTAGATCTAATCATATTTAGTTTCAAATCATATGATGATTATTTTTTACTGATTTTCAATAAACTCAAATCTATTTTTTTTATGTAGAATTTAAATAATTTTTACTTTCATTTTCTTTTTCAAAACGCTTTCATTCATGCTAGTCTTCTTTGTGTATTTCTGTTTATGGATAATGAAGAGAATGATATCAATATTCAATATGATGTAAACTCAAAATGTCTTTTTCTCTTCTAATCTGAAGAGTATTTTGTTCTTTGATTTTGTTTAAATATTATTTTATTGTTTGTATAATTGATATCTTAAAATAATGTTGTAGTTAAAAGTATCTAAAAGTTATATAAAAATATATTTTAGTTTTCTAATCTTTCTTAAATTTGATGAACACTTTTCTCTTTTAAGATGTAAATAGTTTTCATACACCTATGTTTGTATATTATTCCAGCTAATCAACTATATATTTTTTGAATTAAATTTATCTTAATTGTTCTTTGGAATTAAGCAAAATTTCTACAGAGAACTTATCATACAAGAACACTTTTTTTAATGGAAAAAGTAATTTTATTTTATATCTTTTATAAAAGGAAATGCATTTTGGACCATATGCCCTTCATCAGTCCTTATATTATGTATAATATTTACCATATTATACATAATATTGTAAATATTATGTATAATAATACATTTAATAACTACAGAAAAAATTTATCATATTAAGATGGATTTTTTGAACTTCAAACAAATGCCTAGATTATAAACAAATAGATGTCTTATTTCTATACAAATAAGAACATGCTTTTGTATGTGAGGCATCTTGTTTTGGCTTATAAGAGCACTATACTGCTGTGTCAATATTAAATGTACTGATAGAGTAACATCTCTGTGGTAACCATTATCAAAAACAATAGGAAAAAAAGTTGCTTCTGACACTATAAAAGTTATTTAATATAGTGAATTTTTAGGTACTTTGTGGAATATAATGCAATTTTGCCCCATATGTCCCCCTCTTATATACATGAAAATACAATGACTTTATTTTTTAAGGGTTTGATTGTTTAATGAATTTAAAGTTACCTCATTAAGATCTTGGCATGAATAATCCTAAAAATTGTTTTTTTATTTGTTGTTGCAGCTATTTTCTGAAAAATAATAATGAAACTTTTACATAAGAAATTTATAGTTTTATAATCAGATTATAGAAATAAAATAAATTAACTGTAAGTTTAAATACAATTTTATCACCATTAACTTTAGACATAAATTTTTTTTATTTTAAAAATTATTTACTTTAAAAATAGCAACTATTTAAATTTTTGAAGTTTCAATATTTATATCTAATATAGTGGATGATCATAAAGTACCCCTATTCAATGCAGTTTAGAGAAATTTGGTTGCATTTAAACTGCTAAATTTCTGGTATGGTGACATTGTAAAGTACTATTTTTAACTTATCGCTCTACAACGAATTTCGTTCCGGAAAGAGCCAGTACCTAACGGGCACTTTACACGGGTTCGCGTTTGTTAGTTTGCCAGGCCTGGACTTTCGTGTGCACCAAAATAAATTAAAGACAAGTTAGTCAAAATCAATAAAAGTATTTAATAAAGTTCTAGGAATAACTATTTGCAATATTTATAACAAACAACAAATTTATTCAATCAAATAAATTCCAAAAAAAATCAATCAACCCGACAAAATCACAATCTTATTCTAACTTAGAACTATTCCCCTTGGAATTCTGACAAAATCAATCCTTAATTTAAGGTACAGAAATTCTTACAACTACAAATCCTAACCGTCACCTCAATTATACTAGGAACCTTTTTTCTAACTCAAGACTTTTCCTATTCCTCGATCCACAAATCGAAAACTGCAAACGCTTTGGACTATTTCCTATTGGAAACCTCGTTCACTGCTACTAGCAGACTACGCTTATTTCTTTTAGGAGCTCACCTCTGCTTTCTTCACTTGAGCTACACTATTTATAGTCTGAGGTGACGTCACAGTTTCTAAGTGAGACACTCCCCTCATTTACATACTTATACGTAACATTCACTTTTTTCTTGTTTATCTGGTAGCTTAATTCCCGACAATACTTTGTTAACCTTTTACAGTCTTTTCGTGAACAATTATCGGGATGTTTCCTTTAAGGTTTAACAAGTCTCCTAAAAGTCTGTGGGGTCTTCCTTCCTTTCAGTGCGGGCTTACTATCTGCCACTTGGGCGTGCACGTGAGTGCAGTTGCTAGCTATGATGCTTTCTTTTTTTCGTCGGTGAGTTGGTTTTATCTTCTCTTTTTAACTTTCTAAGGTGATGGGTGAGGAAACCTTTGTCCTAACTAAACATAAGCCCCAAACAAAATATAATAAAAGTAAAATAAAAATAACGCTCAGACTTGGTTCCTTACAACATTTCAGGAGAAGTGGACGACATTCCCATAAAAATAAATTAGTACCACTGAGACACTTTAGGCACTACAAACAATGAAAAAGCAGTTCCTTTGCATAAGTACATATGTTACAGCCAAGTTCTGTGTATAAAAGAGGCTACAGCTATTAAATGTCATTTGTATCAGCTGCAATGGCAATCTATGATTACACTTTGGGAATTTCAGTGTCATAAGAAATTGTGCTGAGGACCACTGACTCTACAAGCTCTCAAGAGAATGTTCACTCAGTTCAAGAAACTGAATGCCTGAGTTCATCTTGCTTAAGGAGAAAACGTACCACTTCACAAGTAATTGAAGATGTTAATGAATAATGTTTCTGGCTCTCACTGAATGTGCAATGTTATGGCAGTCAGGTGTACAGTACATATAACATAGTGTAGAAGATATTTTGAAAGCTGGTGTGTGTTATCCATATAAGATCAGCTACAATCAGCAATTGCTTTCCATTGATAGAGAAACCCAACTAACCTTTACATTGATCTCTCTTGCCAGAATGGATGTAGATGTGTCCTTGCCATGGAAAATCCTGTAAAGCACTGAAGCACATTTTTATCTCAGTAGAATAGTGAACATCTGTAACTGTTGCATTTGAGTCACAGAAAAACCAACAGATTTTACTGCATTCATATAAAGTTAGTCTGATGTAGATTTATAGCCACATTTAAACTATAACCATTCTTTTTTGAAGAAGCTAGTCTGAATGGGCCTGTGACATGCTCTGTGATGGCCCAGTCATACCCAATGGTGCTCAACACTTTTGTTATACCCTAACTGAAACAACAACAATGCTTTGAGTCAACTGTTTTCAAGCAAGTTGGAGCATCTCCATGTTGGACACTGCATAACTACACTACGATGTAGAACTTTGTGACATTGCTTCAAGAACAGAGTGATTAGTTGTATGTTTCCTACTATTTGATCACCTCATTCTCCAGATCTTAATTCATGTGATTTTTGATTGTGGGGACACTTAAAAAGTGTGATTTATAGAGGACATGTTGCAAATTTGGCAGCCTTGAAAGATAATATTGCATTGCATATGAGAAGCATCATAGAGAATCAATTATGGTTGTTCATTTAACACACTGTTCATATCCTTCAAATTTTACAACTTCAGAATGGGAGATCACATTGAGCAGAATCCCCTTTAGTACTAAGGTTTCAACATAATCATGAGATATATTTTACAAATAAATTTCACTGCATTTATTTTACGGAAATGTTTTCCACATGTAGTGAAATGTTACTTTTACCATATATGGATGCATTTAGACTATTAAATTTCTCTCTTGACAATATTGAATAAAAATACTTTTACTGGATGATTGTAATTAATCATCCAGTATAAAAAATATTTGTGGTAAGGAATATTTGCCTTGATTACCATAGGATCTTTAATATCTGGTGATCAATATTAATAAAAAAATTATTATGTAATAAACTAAATCATACAAATAATTTTAAGATATTTTATTAAATATAATAGGAAGGAAGCTGAAGAACAGAAACGCAGAGAAGAAGAAGAAAAAGAGAGATTAAGATTGGAAGAAGAAACAAGGTTGCAAGAATTACAAGAGCTGCAACATCAAGCTCAACAAAAGTAAATTTTGAATATATTACTATTATAAAATTCATAAAATTCAATATACAAGCTCTCACAAGTTAAATTAAAATATGTTTTTCATTCATAATTCTTGGTACATGAAATTTTTTGAAAACATTAGCCAATTTTCATCATTGTAATTAAAATTTTTAATTTTCAATAGTAAATGTAATGGTTAAATTGTTACAAAAGTTTTTTTTCTTTGGTTCTTTTCTTTCCTCTTTTTCTCCAATGAGAAAGTTACCATTTACCATATATTTTATGAAAAGGTGCACAAACTGTCATTGAAAATTACTTCACAAAGAAAAAACAGGTTTTTTTTTGATACCATGAGATATCAAATGATAATTCAGATCATTTGATATTTTTTCAGAAGACTGCTTCAAGTATGACGAATTCTTACATGTTATACTCATTGTTAATCAAAACTTACATAATAATGCTAATGTACAGTACAATATCATAAACATTTACAATGCTACAATCATAAGTAATCAATTCTTTATTATATTAAAATGTTATTCTAATATAATACTTTATTACAGCTAAAATTATTATTCATATAGTTAAATTTTTCATTTTTATTCAGTATTGTAAAAATTATATTGTACAATACTGAATATTATAAGATATAATTTGTATATTTATAATTTAAAGAACATAATGTAATAGTAAAATATAGTTAATATAAGTAAAATATAATGTGTAATAAATGATTTGTAAAATACAATTTTTAATAAATAAAAATTCTGCAGGGTGGCCCAAAAAAAGTACAGTACTGAAACACAAGAGAGCAATATATTGTACACTTTACTAACAAGTAAGTAAGATCTAATTCTGTTGATGGGAAACTATATACTCCACCTCTGCCATCATGTTTCAAGTATAGCTTCATTTGCTGTATAGTATTCTCCACTGTGGCATTACATTTGTCAGGTAAAATTCCTCTTATGTTGAATATTATCCTTCAATGCTACACATTCTGGAAAAGTGGCCTCCAAGAAGTCCATATTCCCTCCATGTGATACATTGCCCCAAATGACACTTACAATACATACATGAGCAATAAACTTTGGTTACCTGTTTTTGGGCTACCCTGTATTTTACAATATTGTATATTTAATTTTGAGTATTGAGTATTATTTACAATACTGAACTGTATTTTTGTGTTTCCTTATTGTGAAATTCTGAAAATAAGAATTCAGGGATTACTGTTTTCTCAGATTGTATTTGTAATTGAAATAAATTATGAACAAGTTACTTGAAACTCACCATTTTTCATGTAAATTTTTAATATATAAAGTTTTATACACATTACTCATAATGATAGTCTATGTAATTATTATGCATTTTAATTCAAAAAATAAATGAAATTTAACATTTTATTATATATATTTAACCATATTTTAATAAATAGGTCATTTCTTTTTCTGATCCTTTTGACTTCAAAATTTATGCAGATAAAATGCTTTGATTTTTATAGATCTTTGAATTAGATGATGATAAATATAATAAATGAAATAAATTATTTGATTATAATTTTCATACTGTTTGTCATTTGAATTAAATTATTTTGATTTTATTATAATTATTTGATAGTCATGTTAAACATAACATATTGAGTTAGAATCATAAATTAATTTATTAATCAAAAAGTAAATATTCTAATTTTTCAATTACTGTATATGCACTTAATCTTTTGAATAATTTTCAAATTGCTTGTGTGCAAAGAGCAATTTTAAAATGTGTTCTTTCTTTAGATTTCTAACCATATTATCTGAAGACAGTTATGTACTGTCAAAATCTCTTCAATTAAATGTTTTTATCTGTAATACCAATAGACAGTTTTTACTTCTTAAAGAATTTAAAGGTATTATAAGCTATAAATTTGTTTAGAAGTGAATTAAAACAAAACAAAGAAGCTGGGATATTAAGACAGTTTTTATTTATCTTTTGTTATTCCTTAAGTAATAATAATAATAGTACAAAATGAAAGATTTATGTGAAATATATAAAGGCAATAGTTCATTTGAAATTTTTCATATGAAACAAAATTTTGAAATTATAATATATGCTTTAAGAAATTGCCTTTAAATAATATAATATTTTTTTACATTTGTTAACAGAAATATGAAATATAAAAACACAAATGTAGTAAATACAATTGTTTTAAACCTTTAAATATGCAGTCTTCAAAAGTCAATTAATATTATTTTATTTACCTAACAGCTCAAAAGTTTTATTATGAATTAAAAATTAAGCACAACTATTTTCTAGCATTTGATTAATTATTAACTTGTAAATAAAATGAAGAGCTTTTAAAAAACTATTGTTTGTTAATATGGATATAATTTTTTGAAATATAATAAAATGAATATGAACATGTTAGCATTGGAATATAATATTTAATGATTATAAGCAAATCTAAATGCTTCTTTTTATTTTTTTGTAGGTTCTTGAAGTTATGATTATTTTCATTATAATAAAAACAACAAAATCTTGCTTTTTCTCATACTTATATTAATTATTGAATCTAATGCTAGAAAATGATTTTAATAAATACATATTAAATATAAATATATTTAATATGTATTTGTATATGTATATGTAAATATGTTTCAGCATAGTTGGAATAGTGTCAGACATATTTTTATTTCTTTTTTGGACTTTTACAGTTAATTAGAAGTCTATAAATTATATTCTCATTAATGTATTTCAAAAAAGTTAAATTTCTTCTTCTTATTACACTGATTTGTTATTTACACATTATTTAATTTTCAGGAGATTAATTCAAGAAGCCCTTAACAGACAGACATATCACCAATTTAAAGCTTATGCTGAACAGCAATATCCAGGAAATCCTGAACAAGTAAGTTTTTTTATATTATGATTTTCAACATAAAATTCAAATTTTGTGATTTTGAAATTGGTTAGAATATTTTTATGTGCGCTTTTCTTCATTTCAATACTGGACGTTGTTTTGTTCATGGCCCTGTTAGGACTTTTTCTATGAAAAATTTGACTTTAAAATTGGAAGATCTCTAAAAATTTCATTGGAAATTCTACATTCTCAATGATGATTTTAAAAATACAATAGTAGGTGACACTTCCTGCAATCACTTTGAGACTAAAATATACTGATAACAATAATTGAGTGCAATTTTTGTGATAACTCAGGTTGTATTTTCTTCATAATTCGAAGTTTAGACTATTTACAAAAAGTCAAATTAACTTTTGAGTCCATCTTTATCCTTTATATACTACCATAGTCTTAAAAAATTGCTTTGAAGAACTCTTTTTAAATACAGATAAAAATTGCTAAAAAACTTCACAAGGTTAAAAAGATCTAGTGTCAGCCTTTTTTCTTGTAGATTTCTGACACTTTTGCAATTAAAAACACAAAGAAATTCTTCACCCTTATCATTTTTATCCACCTTTTTAAACTGCTTCTGGCCCTATAGTGGTAGTTACGAGTATCTACATTATTTGCATATGATTACAATTTTTGTGATAACTCAGGATGTATTTTCTTCATAATTCGAAGTTTAGACTATTTACAAAACGTCAAATTAACTTTTGAGTCCATCTTTATCCTTTATACACTTTAGAGGTGGATAAAAATGATAAGGGTGAAGAATTTCTTTGTGTTTTTAATTGTAAAAGTGTCAGAAACCTACAAGAAAAGGCTGACACTTGATCTTTTTTAACCTTGTGAAGTTTTTTAGCAATTTTTATCTGTGTTTAAGAAGAGTTCTTCAAAGCAATTTTTTAAGACTGTGGTAGTGTATAAAGGATAAAGATGGACTCAAAAGTTAATTTGACTTTTTGTAAATAGTCTAAACTTCGAATTATGAATAATTGAGTGATTATATGATGAAATTAATTAGCAGCAACAATCAGTGGAAAGTCTAATTTTGTTGAATCAGATGGTTTAAAAACAATTAAAAATAATTTTTTTTGTAAATATCACTTTTGGTAGCTGTTATTATGATCTATGTATGTATGTCTCTTTAATCCAAAATTAAGTTCGGTAGACTATCATTACAGCTTTCAGGTTAGACACTTCTTTTATTGTTTCCACATATGCATTTCGGACTTATATAAATGTTAAGTCCCTCTTTAGTGCAATACTACAAATTATTAAAAAAAAAACCACAATTAGTAACATGACAAAAATTTCTCACGTGTAGGTCATATTAACTGACATAAAACTATTATACTTAAAAATTGTCACACTTATACGATACATATGGTTCTGTCTTCTTAAACCACAGTGTATAACGAGTAACATTGGAAAGATTTTTTAATACAGCCATTAAAAACACCACAAATACATTTTCCAAACTTTTATATGGAAAACCTAATATATTAATAATTTTATAATTTTTTACTCCATAACATCACATATTCCAATAAAATAACAATATAATTTGATACATACTCACTTTTATATTTTATGTGCTCATAAAATCTTATATAAGTATGTATAACTTTTAATGAATGTGTATTTTCTACAATATAACGTTGCAGTGACTGTAATTATAATCGTTTTACAGGTTAATCATATGCAGTATAGTAATATTAAAAACATTTTTAAGAGGATACATACATAATTTCACAACATATTTCTAATACAACACTGTGTGATAAATACATTACATTCACTTTTTTCCATTAGCACCACCTATTATATTGTACCACTGTTGATCTATTTGCATACCATTTGATATATTGATTAAATTATCATCATTAAATTTTATAATCTCAATATGTTCCTTAAATTTACATTTATACATATCTTTTTCCAAATGAATTACTTTTATATTATTTCTATCTATTTGACAATTACTATTTTTTATATGGTTGAACCACGGAGAATTATTGTATTTCAATCTAATTGCTGCTTCATGTTCTTTAATTCTTAATTCTAACATTCTACTAGTTTCACCTATATAATTTTTTGGTTTTTGGCAATTACAATTAATTTTATATACAACTCCTGATTTTTTTAAATTTATAAACATTAATTTTATATTTATTATTATTATTATTGTAAATANCGTTTTATTTAACCCCGAATACACTTTTTTAATCCATTAAATATTCACGATACGTAGCTTAACACTGGAATTACTGAATAAAATTATTGGATAAAATATAGAAAAACTTCATGTTTTTTTTTCTGGAAATATGGCAATTAAATAATAAAAAAATCCATATGAATATTAGTAAATGTGTTACAATAAAGAATAAATGCGGTGTGGATATTGGTTTTAAAAAATTGCTAGAATATAAAAAGAAGGAAGTGGTTTACTCTTCATTATATTGCAGAGGAAGTTATTGATGAAAGTACAACGACCTCGAGGTAAAAAAATAATAATAATAAAAAGAAACTGTCCTTTCTACATTGGTTATCTGTAAATCGTGAGATTTTATATTTACAATGTAACTGTCGTGGCCAAAATATATTCAAACAAAAGCAATTTCCGAGGAATGTACGATATTATCGTTGAGAGTAAATACTGTTTTGAGTAATCGGATGGAAAATTTCGCCTCGAGATCTTCTTCGACATAATTACAAACCGCAAATTTATCGATTGACTTTTAAAGCTTATATTTTATTAATATTTATCGATTGTTTTCGTATTAAATATGTTTTTCTTTCTTGGAGTTTCTTTTGAAGAATTTCTTTCACGTCCTCCATTAGCATATTGACTGAGCGTTTTGTTTATCTCCACTTTTGTTATTTGTTTGCCATTGTATCTCTCTGCTCAACAGCTGTTCTCAGTCTCCGATGTGTTGTATTTTCTCAATGATCAACGTCCAATGCAAATGTTACCCTTCCAGAGTAATGTATCTTAAATTTGATAACATTATTCCAGGACTTTCTCCAAAAGATAAATGGCTGAAAAGAAAGAAGGTTACATTTTTCAATTTTGTTTTCTTTCTTTTTTATTATTTATATTCGAAACTTTT